GTGGTCTAGCAACAATTGACTCACGATTTCAGCTATTGAAAAGTCTATCTTCGTTGACTTGCTAGTGATGGCTTAGTGGGAAAAAATGTTACTTTATCAATGATACTACTGACGAGTAGTGTAATTCTAAATAACAAAAAACACCATTTTTATGCGATATTACCTATGTAAATCGATTAAGTACTGTAAGGGCTTCTGAGTAGCTTATAAACAAACAATATAATAAATATAGAGAGCTTTTGTTCATATACAAAAATATACAACGATATGACTTCGAATTTCTCCTTCTTTAGACTATATAAATCTATTTACAGGTTCACATGAAGATTGATTGAATAGACATAGCGCAACGATTGATCTGTACACCAATCAATACGGGATATAATTCAACACAAAAATAGTTCCCAAAATTTTCTTTAAAGATTTAATACGTCTAGTTTGCTCAATACAGTGTATCTGAAACGTATCTTGGTTATCGAGTTTGTATATGAAATCAAACAGTCTCGAAAATGTACTGAATTAACTGGAATCTAAAATAATTGAGGTTAGATAGACTGACAGACTTGTTCATATATATAACCTAAAAGGGAAAGTACTTCAGAATGAAGTAAATATATCATGTCATGTCACATTACTAGGCATGGTTGGTTCCATACATGTAGACTAATAAAAAAAGATAGTCAGAACGGGGTTGTGAAGAATGTTAAGATTCATTAGAATCATGAATCGATCAATGTTAGACGACCATTGAAAACCTAAAAGCATTGGACGGTCGCTTTGTCCTAGTACTGGACGCGTAAATAGTGTCTATCCACGACCCCGCATGCGGAACTCGGATCCACAATCTCATACAGAAAATTATTATGTGTTCAGTAATGAATAGCTTCGAAAGGTAATTTTCAGAGTTCTAGTAAGAAGCCGTGACCAATGGAGCTAATCTGTGTCGGATGTGAGGCAGCTACTCACCAAAGACAATGGAATATGGTCGCGCAACATTATGGATTGGTTGATGTTAAACTTTAACGCCGTTGGATGTCAGTCCAGTGGTTTTGAGGTTAAGCGCTTGCGCTAGACCAATCACGGGTCCAAGTTCCACGTGTGTGGTCATGGATTTTCACTCCTGAAGAATTCTTTACTAGGACGAAACGGTCGTTCAGTGATTCCAAGCTTTCAATGGTGGGCTTACATTGCGACAATGCAATGAGAAGACGAAGTTGATCAGAATTATGTATAAGAGAGAGTTATGATGGATCCTTCATACGAACCTATACTTAGTTATCTTTCCTTGTCAAATTCATGTTGAATGGTAGATTAAAACTATATTCGGACACACTAGATAACTGCCGATATTAACGTGTAAATCATATTAATTTTAATAAAAAAATTGTTCTCTAAGAAATAATACCATACACTTGTACATGAAGGATAGAGAAATGCCTTGGTATGTCAAACTACTTGCCATTAGTAAGTAGTATGCTGCAGTGTACAAAAATACAGGCAGTGGGAAAGATCATTGCGAACAATGCTGAAGTAACGTAGGCTATTTTTGAACTCATTATCTGGAAAGTTTGAATTATAGGGCTTATAATAAGTTATTATGCATTCAAAGTTTTTTATTTTATTGAAGGCGTGTCAGCTGCTAGTGATGCCACTAAGAATGTTCTAAAAATCATATTTGAATTGTAACTCCTGTAACTTAACGGATCTGTCTTGCTTCTCGAACTCAGAAAAAGTACGATGGACCATACTTTCAATTCAATAGTTAATTTGCCTTCTACTGATTTTTTCTAGATTTCCAAAGGTCACAACAAACTACCCATTTATGGAGTTAGTAAGAGGTGTTTTAAGAAGGATCAGCCAATCTAATCTTACTGCATACATATGTTAGGAACACTGTTGTTGTATAATCAATTCACCCAAGGCTTATGTGATTCTTAAAGTCTGATTTATACCACATAAGCTACGCACTATATTGAGTTACTTATTGAACATGATCTTTTAATTTGATTTCGGAGCTGAAATAATTTTCAAATGAACTATGGGATTTTCATGTAACTAATAAGTTCAGTTCCTTACTCTTCTTCAAACACTTCCATAGAATTACTGATAGTTCACACGGTATCTGAAGGACCCAAGGTAAGTAAGATGCATCGTATGCGAATTAACCATTCACTTATCTAAGTTAGCAACTTAGTTGTAGTCATCCGAGTCAGATGATCACCTATAAGTACGAGTGAGTACTCTAATTCAGAAATAAAGCTTCCTTCAGTAGTTTTTGTCTTCTCCATCTGGATAGCTTGAATAACCGAGTGTGACTGCATCAGACAGCAAACTATAATGGTCACATTGATTTAAGTGTTTAAATTTATTCTTAGTTTACTCATTTTTAATTATTTCGGCAGATCGAAATAGTTAGGTCTAACTTCTTCCGTAATGAATATACTACATTTCATCACCATTCGCGATCCTTTGGTTTAAATGGATCAGTTTACCAGTGTGCATAAGATTTCGAAAACCATTTCATCTAACCGACACAAAAATCGCATCAAGCCACCAGAAGTATCCGATTAGTTATTGATGCTCATAATTCTCCGTGCAAATAAATGGTCATTTTATGACTAGCAAATACGAGAACGACGAAATACTGTGAAACCTGGCTTCACCGATCTGGGGATGCTAAACAACTCTGTTTGATAACCGTTGTCTCGGAAGATTGCTGACACCAAGTTACTAACCCAGAGGTTCAGCAACGTGTGTTCAAGCGCGTTGACGATAATTCAATTGGTGTAACCACCTTGAAACACCAACATCGGCCGTTTGAACATGTACTACGAATGTCATCCCAGTGAATCGTACATGATGCATTATTTGTGGACGCTGTGACTGGTTAAGAAAATGGACGTAGTCAGCATATGACATGGTGTCGTAGTATAAAAGGAAGTCATGCACGGGACTGTCATCTATTGTTCCTCACTGACTCCATGATGGGGTCCTAAAGATGATACATCACAGTGGCTTGAGACGTTATCAGACATAACCCAGAACAGAAGCTAGAAACGATCTTGCTGTAACTTTCTTCAAGAGTAGCTATAAGATTCCTTGCTGGTTGTATTATTTTAACAGAATCTTCTATTATCACTATTTCACTCTCATACAATAAATCCTACTAATTTCCTAAAATTATAGTCACCTTCATTTCTCTGTCTCTTCGCAATCTCATTTTATTGTGGCCCATATATTTTGGTGTCCCCCTGTATCAGTGTTTATGAGTTTCAATAAATAAATAAAGTGCTGAGTAGAAATGTTTTCTCACAGTTCAATTCACGAGTCGACCTAAGCTAGACCACTATTGTAAACCTAGAAACATGGAGTCGTTTCGTCCTACTATGGGACTCCTCAGCAGTGCACACTCACTACTCTACACACGGGGCTTGAACATAGGACCTCGTGGGCGAACGCACTTTTCTTATAAAGATTTCATCCCGTCGACATAGAAGCTTAATCAAGGAAGAGCTTATTCAGATAATTAAATTTGCATGTATTTGTGCATTATTATGACTGAGATTTATCCATACACAGTAATAACTACATTGTTAATCCCATACATGTTCTTGTGTTTCGGTTAATTTTTCCCACTTATGCCTGTTACCCTTCATGGAGCATAGGCTACCGACCAGGAATCCCCAACCTACTCAGGCTCGGGGTGTGGCCTCCTGACAAGATCAATTGTTTTGAGTTGGGCGCCCGGGTATCCCAGCCCTCACAAAAATCAAATGATTTGTGTGGCGCATATATATTTAATGCCTCCTTGTACCAATATTTGTGTTAAAACAAATAAACACCAATAACCTACGAATATCTCCTACTCTTAATGACCATGTTCCATATCTATAAAGTAGAACGGGGCGAAATACCGCTCATCAGGCCTCCGATCAGGAAGCTCCAGCCTCCTGTTCTAGACTCTGCTTTCGAGTTATTTCCGATTGCTACTCATTCTCTCGATGTCTACCTCGAATTCCCGACGAAGTGTGTCCTTTGGTCTACCTCTTTTCCTTTCTGCTTCAGCATTCCGAGTTAGGGTTTATTTTGTAATAAAGTTTGATAATTTCCCTAATGTGTATTTTATCAACCTCTTATACCCTTGCCTAATTTCCTCCTCAGCTAGAAACTGGCTTATTTTCTCCCACGGTATGTTGTTGTTGATGATGTTTAGTCTAGGGATCTGTAGAATCTTGGATCGACAACTGTATATCAATACTTATACCTGTTTGATGATAGTTTCATTAGTTCTCCAAGCTGACCGAGTGATAACTTCTCGTGAAACTGGATTTTTGATGAAAGCCTCCAATGAAACAAATATCAGTAAATGTTCGTACTTGCAAATATAATCTTATTTTAAAACTATATTAGAGACAATTGATGAAGTAGTGAAACCTTATCAGTTGAGATGGCAGGGACACGTGTTACGTATGCCCAACCACCGACTGCCACGACGTGCGATGTTCAGTGGTATAGGAGTAGGTTGGAAGAAAGCTAGTGGTGGCCAGATCAAAACATGGCACAAATACATGAAGTCACTGACAAGTGGACTGAGTCATGTTGGTAGGTGTAGACTACTTGGTTGGGAATCTGCGAGATGATAGCAACCGATGATTAGAGACCCTGAATGAAATGGCTCAAAATCGTTTGCAATTGCGCAGGTACATCCACTTCTTGTGTTCTCTCAAATTCTAATCTTCTGAAATCTTCGTATCCATTTCTTTTTTTCGCTTTCCAAATTTATTTCACTGGATTATACTCCTTGAATAACATCTTCAAACCCTAATCTTTCCGATTACTGCTTATACTCTTACTACCTCTACCATTACGGGATTTGAATCGACAACTGCATCTCTGTGCTAATGTGATATGGCAACTTGAACTGATGTATGTACGTACGATGTTCTACGTTGTTGCTGACAAATGAATCAGTTCACTTAACACAGATATTACAGAAAAAACAAACGAACAAACATTTTTATTTTGTTAGAAAAACAAAAACAAAATGTTTCATAATTATTCAGTATTAACAATTGGAAAACTCACATCATATATGAGAGATTGATGAATTACTTTTATCAGTTATACAGATTACATTCTCGTTTTATTACATCATCGTTGTAATAACCATATTTTCTTTGGTTACATAATAAAGCATAGAAATACATCCCTTTTTTTATTTTAAATTGTTCTCTATTGTTTCTTCATTGTTATTCATATTTGAATTATTTGCTTTATTATTATCTAATAGTTTACATTCAAGTGTAGGCCATGATATTGGTTCAGCTTTTTTCAAAATTATTTCAGCTTTTAATGGCATTAATTTAACAATAGATTGTTTTGGATCTATAGACTGAAAGTATAGAGAAAAAAAATCAATAAAATACAGAAAATCATATTTGTTAGATGGTTAGTAACAATTATGTTCTGTTTTGTATCATCAGTTACACTTTAGGTAATTGCCACTGGATGCCAGCAATCCTTCGGAGACAGCGATGATCAAACACAGAGAGTCGTCTAACATCCTCAACTTGGAGAGGTCATGTTTCACAAGCAGAGAGCAAAACTGCTCTCACCGACGCGTTGTAGATCCGACCTTTTACAGTCAGACTAACATCACGAAGGCGCTGAACGATGTTTGTCAATTTCTTAGTGCTAAATCAATTCTACAAATAAACTGTAATTAATTAATGTAAACATCTCAATCTTATAACATATTAACTACGACTACCTTGAAAGATCTGATGCTTCATTACGCATCACAGTCAATATGATATTGTTGAATCATTAGGATCAACAGTTACCCTTTATAACTTCACTAGAATTCGATTAAACACTAAGTAACTCGAACAATATTATTAGTCATTATTCAATAACTAATTGATTGATAACGATGTTATTGAATAAAAATAAAGAGAATCCAGTGAAGAAACTTCTCTTTTCATTTACTTAAGCTGTACATTCATAGTTATAGTTGTTTGGTAAATATATTTGTTTATAGAAAGATAGAAAAGATTACATCATAAATTGATTCGAGACTCTTATTATCAAATGAGGTTACATAATAATCAAGAAGTAACAGGAGAATATAGAGATGACAGTTGTAATCAATAGGTAAACACAATACCTACAATTAGTCGATTACTCACAAAAGAGCATAAATCTTAATTATCTGATATTCGGAGAAATCAGGATTTAGTGTTGTGTCGCCCAGACGACGGTGCAGGAATTGTCCTTACGGATCATATTAATTATCGTCGATATTATCTTATCCTGTCTAATTCTCCAAATAAACCATTCAACAGGATGCAATTGAGAAAACGTAACAGATGTTAATTTAAATCCTAAGGAAGATGAATTTATTATTAATTGTCACCTGTATGAACATCTTAAATCATCAGGTTCCGTCATACAAAGACTGGATGGACTCCCAAAAGTTCATAAGAATGTCCCTCTACGTCATATATTTGATATAAATAACTCTCCGTATCACTTGATTGCTAAATGGTTAGCTGATATTTTACAACCCGTTAAAAATCACATTAATAGATACAACTCTCTTGATTCCTTTGACTTTGTCGACTCAATTAAAAATATCAATGTACATGGTAGGAAAATGATTTCATTGGATGCCACTTCTATCTTTATAAATGTTCCTCTCACAGAAACTGTTTTTGTGTGACTGTATTGAAAATAATGATTTTGATATTTGTATCCCAAAATATTATCTAAAAGAGCTACTTCTACGATGTACTGTTAACATGGAATTCAGATTTAATGATTTTTATAGAGCGATCACTTTCCAAACGCATCTTAGAATACTACCTGAAATGGCTTTTTAAAAGGAGAATGCAAAGCAATAAATATTTCAATACAAGAGCATTTAATCAAATATGGACACATCGCTCCAAAGGAGTCATTTTTTAAAATAATCTACACAGTCAAAGGAATTGGACCGAACAGAATCCTAGAAAAAATCTTTTACACTGCTGAGGCATTGACAATCCACCAACTCAAGCCCGAACTTTGAGTGCAAAAAACGATAGATTCAACCTCTCATATCCTTCCTTGGTGCCAATTTCCTTTTATAGCATGTTTCGATTTTTTTTCATTTTTTGGTGGTTATTATTGATTTTTTAAATTAGTGTTTTGTAATTTTAAACTGTTACTAGTTATTACTACTTTTGAACAATTTTTAATGATTATTCAGTTTTTATGATTGTCACCGTGGATTAGTTAAAGTTAGAGATTAACACCGTTGGATGTCAGATCAGTGGTCTAGTGGTTAAGCGCTTGCGCGCGAGACTGATAGGTCTTGCGTCTCACGAGGCGGGATCGTGGATACACGCCGCTGAGGAGTCCTATTATAGGACGAAACGATCATCCAATGCTTCCAACTTTTCCATGGTGGTCTAGCTTCAATTGATTCATGAATTCAACTATTAAATTATTACTTTTGTTTTTCGATTTACTTCATATCTGTCAATCGGACAATTATCTTTCATAATTCTGATCCGGAAATTATTTTCATCTTTACATCCCTTTCTTATTATTTATTCAAACACATAAACATTGGTACGAGGAGGTACCAAACAGATATGCGCCACATAAATCATTCGATTTATGTGAGGGCCGGGATATGCCTCGGGTCCCCAAACCGAAGCAACTGGTTTTCCTAGGGGGCCACACCCAACGCCTTTGACCTAAAGGTAATGGAGCAACGTAAGGAGATGCTGTCCCATGGTAGCCAGTGACCAACAATAGGTTCATACGTCTTTTGTTCCCTTAGGATACTGGAGCCCATGTACATCAATGTTTTGTAATCAAGGTTCCCCCCAAGGTGGATCCTCTGCATCCATCCACCAACCAAGTTAAAGCGCCGGACATCCGCTTTCCGTCCTCTCGATTTCGTAAACAACACCCCCGGCCACGAAAAGTCAGTGAGTAGAACTTTTCTGTCAGTTGTTGTATGCACGTGACCATGTGAGAGCAGACTCTCCCCTCTCCTTACCCCTTGATTATTACATAACCTCATTTGATAATAAGTCTCGAATCAATTTATGATGTAATCTTTTCTATCTTTCTATAGACAAATATACTTACCAAACAACTATAACTACGAATGTACAGCTTAAGTAAATGATTTTGTCGAAAAGAGAAGTTTCTTCACTGAATTCTCTAAACATAAAAACAGATTAAAGAAAGGGAAAAAAAGAAAAGAAAAGCGATAACTTACACCGTATAAATTGAAATCTCTTTCAAATGTTTGATAATCTAAACCAAATTTCAATGAAACATGTAACACTATTTGGTTAACTTTAATAGAAACAGTTTCAGGCCATATATTTTTAGCATAAATATCTAATGTAACACAACCACCAAATTGATACCAATCAAAACGACAATTTGTATTTGGTTGAAGAGTTAATGTTGCATTTGTAGATTTTGCATCCTATTATTAAATAAAATTTAAAAGAAAAAACAACACAACGTGAAATGATTAAAGTCACTTGTTTACAGATTATAAGTACAAGCAATTGATTTTGAATAAAACTTTGTAAATGTTAGGTGATACTAACTAATTACTCAAATCAAAGTAGATGGGATGGAACTCGAACATGGGGATGTATTGGTTGAAAATCAATTGTTGTTACCAAGTATAAATCAGTGTAGTTGATTTCGAATCAAACTCTATAAGTGTGAGATTAAGCGATACTAAACGAATGCCCAGGTTGAAGTAGGTAGGGTTAGAATTGGGTTTTAGACATCGTATGATTGGAAAATGAATCCTCAGACTATTGAGTCACCTAATTCATAAAACTGCAAAATTATACGATCAGTATTCCATTGTATCAGAATGGGGATTTGCAGAGATTGTAATATTGTAACAGTTGAATTCATGAGTGTTGGGGATGCTGTGATATGGTGAGCATAGATTCAATCAATTAGATTGCGAGACAAAATTATTATTTCTCTAATCTTCTGTGAATTATATAACTTACTTAATTCATTATATCTGTTCCTTGTAGATTATCGACTGTATAATATTGGTAAATATGTGTTCGCACAGTAAGTCATTGATTAACTGATCTTCAATACTACTCAATTCTATTTATACAAAATTGACGGTGTGTAAATTACACTAAAAAATGATATATTGGTATATCATTTTGATAGACAAATAAATCCTTATCACCAGCCTTTATGTTTTCACTACGCGTCGCAGGATTAGGAGATCCCAGTGCCAACCACAAACCAGTTGAGCATTTAGCAGTCTTAGTAGACTCGTCATTTTTTGTACTAGTATGAGTTGAGAATAGATTATTATTGTTGAGTACGTTGAATGTGAGTTTAACATAAACGAATTATTATTTTTAGTATAGAGTTTTATACTCACTAATAAATAACTTCGAGATGTAATTTCAGTTCTACTGAGAAACAGTGACTAATGAAGTTCAACCATGTTGAGTATGTGACAGTTATCTATAAGAGGTAATAAATGAAAAGATCATCTTAGTTTCTCGACATGTTTAAATATGATTCGTTTATTCAACCCAAAGTATGTTGTTCCGATAAATATAATATACATTCAACAATCGTTTTCCCTGTAGTATATTAAGTCTATAAACATTAATACTAATTCGTTTTTTCTTGACAGAATTCTTTAGAAGCATTCTTATTATTTCGTAAAACTGAATAGCTTTTAATTCATTTGGTATTGTTTTACTTGAATCTTTCCATTGATGTTTAAGACTGAAATTGATCAGTCTCTTTTGTCTAAATACAATTTTCTAATTGATTCTTCTTCTGTAAACGAAAAAACAGGATTCACATGGAAGTTGGGTAACAAACTTAAAACTTTTTAGATGAAATATATTAGATGGATTTTGATCATCGACGAAATCCAGAATATGCATTTCACTCTCTTTTTTAGGACTCACCAGCTGTATGTACCTATATCCTAATGTTGATATTTAGATTGAGACGTGAACCTAGTACAGTAGCATTCACTTTAAACACAACAACTGGTTATCTACCGGACTAATGAGTTCCAGTAGTCACTAATTAATTCAATGCTTATGATATTTGTATCATTATTGATAAAGGTTTGAATAATCCCATTGTAAACATTTTAGGATTGAATTCTGAACATCAACAATAGAGTGCAAACAAAGTAGGCTGGAAAATCCCAAATAGGATGAAACATCTATTCTGGATCTTGTTGCTAGTCACAATCCGCATAAAAAAATTAACACACATGAACAAAGATTAATCACAATTCAATTTTGACTGTCAATAACGATATAGTTCAAACATTTTGTAATGATGATTTTCAAGTGAAGATTCTATCCTATGTCGAATATGTGTCGATTAAGTTAAATAATTCATAATTTCATATATATATATATATATATATATATATATATATATGGATGGTGATTGCTTGTGGGTGGTCTATGCTCCTCGACGAGGAGTAACAGGCGTAAGTAAGTAAGTAATATATGAATTGTGAACTCACTTCCACTGTCCAATTATATATATATATATATATATATATATATATATATATATATATATATATATATATATATATGAATTGTTAGCGTGTTTTTCTAGCAAAGCAACGGCCACATTCCTACAATTGAAACACACATGGAACTCAAAACAACTCTCTGTCAACCAATACCAAAGTCACAATCTTCAATACGAACGTCAAGACAGTTCTACTGTATGCACCTGAAACTTGGAAGACTACTACAACCATCATCAAGAAGGTACAAGTATTTATAAATAGTTGTCCATATAAGATACTCAACATCTATTAGTCGCATACCATGAGCAACAGTTTACTGTGGGAGACAACAAACCAGCTTCCAGCTGAAGAAGAAATTAGGAAAAAACGATGGAAATGGATAGGACATACATTACGCAGATCACCAAACTGTATCACAAGATAAGTGCTAACTTGTAATCTTGAAGGGAAGAGGAAAAGAGGAAGGTCAAAGAACACATTACGTCGGTAAATAGAAGCAGATATGAAAAGAATGAATAACAACTGGAAAGAGCTGGGAAGGATTGCCCAGGACAGGGTTGGATGGTGATTGCTTGTGGGTGGTCTATGCTCCTCGACGAGGAGTAACAGGCGTAAGTAAGTAAGTAATATATGAATTGTGAACTCACTTCCACTGTCCAATTATGATGACCTGTAGTACACCCGATTTGTTTAAGGAATGCTTCGAAATCACTAGTTTTCTGATTACAACAAGTCCAATACTTCAGTCTAAAATAAAGCAAAAATAAACGTATTTCTTAAAGAAAAAAACACAATAACTAACCGATTATTTCATTTTGAGCGTTATTATCTGAAACTAATTAGTTAACCTTTATAGTAATATCCTAAACTAAGTGTTAATTCATTAGAGACTATAAGCATGTCATCTTATCAGATGAAAAAGCCGGTTCAGCTATCTCAGACTACTGATATCTGTTTCACTGGAGATTTGTATCAACAATCTAGTTTCATGAGAAGTTATCAATCGGCCAACTTGGAGAACTAATAAAACTATCATCAAACAGGTATAAGTATTGATATACAGTTGTCGATCCATGGTTCTCCAGATCCCTAGACTAAACATCATCAACAACAAAATACTGGGAAAGAACCAGTTTCTAGTTGAGGAGGAAATTAGGCAAGGACATAAGAGGTGGGTAGAACACACATTACGAAAATGATCAAACTGCATTACAAATTAAGCCCAAACTAGGAATCCTGAAGGAGAAAGGAAAAGAGGTAGACCAAAGAACACACTGCGTCCGGAATTGGAGGTAGACATCGATAGAATGGATCGTAATCGGAAACAACTGGAGAGGAGAAGAGTCTAGGACAGAGCCTGAAGATTCCTGGTCGGAGGCCTGATGAGCGGAATTTCGAGAGGGAGAGCGGGCTATCTCTACTCTCGGTCGTACTAGGGCATTTGGGGAATGGTACTCAGTCATAGATATTTACAAAGCATTTTACGTGTGTTTTTGGACCACGAAGTAAACAATGCCTAGGTTGGAAATAAAATACAAAGTAAAGACGGCAAACAGATCAATGATTTATTACATCTACATCAACTGAGGTGGTTGGGACGTGTGTTACATATACTCAACCACCACCTTCCTCGACGGGAGGTGTTTTCTGGTGCAGGAGCAGTCTGGAAAAAGGCTAGGATCATCCAAACGAAAACAAGCCATCAGTCCATAAAGTCACTGACAATAAGACCTAAGCATGTTAATAGGTACAGACTGCCTGTTTGAGGTCCGCGTGTTTATCGTAACCAATGACTAGACTTCGGATAACATGACTCAAAATCCTTCGTAATGGCGCGGGTGCATTCATTCTTTGTCTTCTCCCAAATCCTGAGATCCTAAATTCCTCATAACTTCTTTTGCTCTTATTTCGTTAATTTGTGTATTCTTTTCGAGTCGTATCTTTGACCCACAATCTTCCTTATTACCACTGATACTGTTACTATCTCTACCATTTTGGAATATGGCCTGACAACTTCATCTGTCTTATGGCAACTTGAACTGATGTACATACGTACAGATTCTACTTTGTGACTGACGCACAAACTGACTCGGATGACTAAGTATTTTTCATATATGCATATGAAATACTACCGTATATTGAAGTAAGACTTGGTGAAGATCTAATTGAAAGCAATATTGTTCTCCTATATATTTGTTGTTTTAAATACGTTATTGAGGAATGATTATACACTGAAAAGAACTGCTGCTTAACATGAGTGTAACACTTCAAATTTAAGTCTTGGGATCAGATAATGAGAATCAATTTTTAACGACTAATTTAGGTGCTTAGTACGAAGAAAATATAAACAAGTTGACTGACCTAGTTCTAAACAATCACCAATGTTTAATCTTTTTACTTATAGAATCGGTCACAAGACTGGAAAATGGAGTGATAATCACTTAACTATTGGGAAGAAGGGATGTGGAACTCAGCAATTTATAATTTCAACGAACTTGTACTACTTTTCACTGATTAGGACTTGTAAAATAGTTTTCATGGTACAAGAAGTCTCGTAAATATTTAAAGGTTTATCAAATATAAAAAATAGAGATAGCAATGCGTTTACCCTTCGTGAAATACAGCCACACCGGGATGGTATAGACAGAGTCCACTATCTGAATCTGTTCCCGTATAAACCTACAAAGAAAACGTTAGCTGGTCAGTATGGCAAACGAAGATTAAATAAAGGTAAATCGGCCAGTCATCAAAAACAATTACAAGCTATATAACCTAAAATGTCCAACTACTGGTTACAACGATTGCGCAGACCCTGACCAAGTAGTCTGAACATACCAAGCGACTCATTCTAAACGTCAATGAATTTATGGACTGATCCCAAGTTTTGATTTGGTCACTACTAGCTTTCCTCTGACCTACCTCCTCTACGACAGCCGATAAAAGGCGTCAACACAGGTGGTAGTTGGGCATACGATGAAATTTCAATACATCAACCGATTTGCCACCCCTACCTAGTACCCTGCATTTAAGCTCAGGATCACTCATTCGATCGCCGCAACATATGCGAGCAATGTTTTAAAAACATATGTGATCTAATATTATTAATTTACGAATATCTATTTTTAGTCCGAATTTTATACCCGTAAAGTAGAAAAAAGTGAACTGCTGCTTAGTAAACTCATTATTTGGTTGGGAAACAGACAACTCATTTACACCACGAGTGATGCGATTCAAGAAAACCAGATCGAGCACAGTGAATATAGCCCGAAAAGAATGAATTCGATCCAGAAATAAGAAACGTGAAATAATAAAATATCAGATTTAAGGGGAAATAAAGAATATAATGGCAGCACATAGGGTCATCACTTATTGATTAGGAAATCTGCACTTTCCAATAAGGCTTGGTCTGATGGTTAATGATTTTATGGACTAATATCATGTATTGATTTGGTCACCACTAAACTTCTAAATCTACTTCTCTGTTAACCAGAAATAAACACTGAGATAGACGATGCGCTGACAAGCGTAATGGAGGTTTAAACCAGATCAATCAATGAAATACTTTATTAGCTGATTTACAACTTCCAAATATAATGTCTTGAGTATGCTTTTATCGAGATTTGAGCATATCACTAAACGGTTTGGGTACCCGAGCAGTACCATAGCCTATACACAAATCAAGTGATTTGTGTGGCGCATATGTATTCGGTGTCCCTTTGTACCAATATTTATGTGTTCGAATAAATAAATATCATTCAACGTGAACAGACTAATCCCAGCGTGTCCAATAAATTTAATTTGTGAAACCTCAGCCATACGACACCCGTAGAAATAATCTAAATATTAGTACACTGGCGTAATAAGTCGTACGATGAATAAACATGACTTTCGAAGGACGTTTTTCTATCAACATAGAAAATGTGTGTAAGGAAACTTTATAAAATCACTGACATACTTCAGCAAATTTATCTGGACAGCATCCATTTATCATTATGCAAAACCAAATTAAAAGTCACAGTTTGTATCGCGAAAACTGAGCAACCAAAAGAGTGGTTGAAATACTCCTGTTAAATATGAACTTAACTGTAAGTCATTATTTGTGTTAAAGCTTCACTTATCAGCTTGCCATAATTATAAGAAATTGTATGCCTTGAAAAATACGATTTAAACATTTTGAAATATACACACATTACCTAGACTTACCTGTTTGCATGCAGTGTTCTTGCAATTTGTACCAACTGAAGGACTACCTAACATGGAGAAAGAGGTCATAGCTTTATTTTTGGGTATATTATAATCATGTAAATATATAATGGCAACTATGAATGGTAAGATAATCTGGGTTGTCGGTGAATTTAATTAACATTAAAATTGAAAATAACAGTTAAATATGAAACTTTGATTACAGTAGACTATCAGGATTAGTAGGTTCACGTGAGTGCAAGAAACTATTTAATAAACTGGTCTACTCTCGTGCAAAATCTAAAGGAATGGATAACATCATCAGTTGTGAAACACAACCTAGATATATTGAGTGCCCCTAAATGCCCTGGTACGGTAGAGTGAGCTCTCCCTCTCAAAATGCTCTCACATGGCCACGTGCACACAGCCACTACCAGGGAAGTCCTACTCACGGACCGGGTGTTGTTTACGAAATTCAGAGGACGAGAACCAAATGTCCGGCGCTGTAACCGAGTTGGTGGATTTGGAGGATCCACTTAGGGGCGTTGAAAAACCACAATTCCAAACCAATGGTACACATGGGCTCCAGGATCCCGAGGAAACAAGACACATGAACCTATTGTTGGTCACTGGCTACCATGGGACAGCGTTTTCCAACGTTGCTCCATTGCCTTGTGGATCAGACCTGTAGATCAGAGGCTTGGGGTGTGGCCCCCCAACAAAACCACTTGTTTCGGCTTGAACGGCCGGGTAGTATCCCAGTCCTCACACCAATCAAATGATTTCTGTGTCGCATACATATTTGATGCCTTCTTGTACCAATGTTTATGTTTAAATAATAATAAGATATATTGAGTTAGTGTGTGAAATCAGCTGACTTTTTGATATAAGCCCCATTTCAACTCAATTATAGGTTGACGAATGGCTATCATTGTGCGTGATCTCCAGTTGTGATCATCTGCAAGTACTATTTAAGCTTAGCGATATTAAGAACTAATAAACGTAATATGAAGTTAACATGAATGGTAATCATGAAAAACCAACCTTTATTATTATTTTCTATTGTAGAATTCTGTAGTGGTTTGAAGGATGGATCTAGTGATAATTCTTCCAGAGCTGACTTAAGATTTGATGCAACTTCGATTGGAAGATCACGTGTGGGCTCGGTACTTGATGGTCTTTGGGATACAACGGGTTTTGATATTACAGGAGTAGGTGTAGGAATAGGCTACAAAAAAATCATTGGAAATAACTGATGAGAAATTTTCGAATGAATCAAATTTAAAACACGAGACAATGTTGCTAAGATCCTGAATAAATGATTAGACATTAGACAAATACTTGAATGTCAATAGAGACCGTCCAAACCTGAGACCAACGAGTCCGGAAATAAATAGATAGGTGTAGTTTAGTTTCATTCTGTGTAAAAAATTGAATGACTGTGAAAGGACAACTAAATATGTCATCTACTTCCAACGATGACGAATTACGTATTCATGATGGTTGTAAGAATACTGGTTAAGGATCACAATATGAAACACTACTTATGGTTTGGAAATATTTATGTACGGATAGGAATATAGTGTTTTAAACAAGCGTGAGTCCTCATCCGTAAGTGGATGATTATGAAGCATAGTCACTATAATGCTACTTGGTTATCTAGGTGAAGGCAGATACATTATTTCATAGGATAAAAAATACATGACCTCGATTTAAATGTTAGACAGTGGTCCAATGTCGAGAGCTCCATTAAAAAAAAGACTGGTGGCTTTCTTTTAGAGACCTTGAGATAAATGATCTTTCACTCCCAAACACGACAATCAGAGTTAACTTCTCCAAGGAACTTAACAATGAACATGCACTTTTACTAATTCAAATAAAATTTAAACTGATGTCTCTTGAGCAAACCTCGGTTATTATACGTAGAGCCAAAACATTGCAAACCTATTTTTGTCCTAATGAGTTTTTTCTAGTGTGTTTTTGAATTATGATCGGTTTGACCAAAATGAAACCAAGAACAAAATACAAGCGACAGAACACAAAAGCATTGTTGTGTCGGCTTGTATTACGCTGACCTTAACGTACGTAAAACATTAAACGTATAAATTCGAAAATTATTAACTAAAGAAATGATACACAAACGAATAAGTTAGCCAAGCAAAATCTATTGTGATTTTGGGCTTGCCGGTAAATAGCATATACCGAAACATAAGCAATTGGTAATTAAGTATAGATATTTGTGCGAAAACACTAAAATGGATGTATATATTCCGGATTTCATTTTTCGCACCGACTCGTGAAATAGTGGGATCCCCTACCAGAATACGTAGTGTAATCACCCGGTGTAGATATATAAACAGCAATAAGACAATTGTGACACCACGAATTGTGAGGTTTACTATAAGTCGTCCAGCCTACTCTTATCAGTGAAGACCTAAATAGGTGTTCCCTAAAACTGCAAAAATTCATCCAATGAATGATATGGGGACAAAACTTAAGACATTCCAAGGTATTATCACACTACTTTCTGTCCTGGAAACATTTCTACAGCTTGTTAGCGGGAACTAATGACTTACTTTAGTTGGAATATCAGATTTTCTTTCTTTGACAGTGTTATCTGGAGGGACACTGTTATGCTTCCCTACAGCGCATCCCTTTATGCTTAGAAACTCAGAAAAGTCTGTGCTGTACTTATTACAACAGGACCACTTTTTTTTGGCATCATGAAAGATTGGCTCTCCAGGATGGTAATGACACGAATCTGTGAACTCTGGTAACAACCAGTGGGACCGTTACCTTCCGAATTCTCTTCTGGATCGAACTTCTGAGCACATCCCTTGTTATAACAGAATTGTAAGTTTGCCATTTGAACTATATCAGTGGCTTCGTGTAGATAAATAACCAACTTGTTAAAACTCCCTCTTGTACAAAAAAGAGGCGAAAAATGGATGCTGGGAAAAAACACGAGACCACTAATAGCTGAACTTTCAAGTGGTTTTTATGTCAACTGTTCAATATCCAATAGACCAAGTTAGGGTGTTGTAGGTTCAAGTTCATTGAGTTCTGGCCAGAAATGCTTTCAAACATTCCATAAGTAAAACCTTACTTGTCTGCAATAGTATTAATTATTCATGGTTTCAGACGTAGGTAATGCATAGTATCTAATCTGCGACCTATTACTTCAATCACTATCATTAAGGATGGTAAGTCAGTTGACCAATGTTGGCAATTGCTGTAAGCATTTCTGTGAAGATACGGTGTACTCGAAGATATCCGCCCATTAGGCTGACTCCACGTGTCATTGGCTACTCCGGGAAAAATGGAATCCCACCACTAGACTGTTCAATTATATGGTGTGGCCGGACATGATTATCTTTAAATGTAACGGAATGTGTGACTTTGAAGTACACTAGTCATTATTTGAAATACTGATCAAAAACACTATATCACCTCGTTTTTTACAATAATTGCAGTAGATTTTGACTCTTAGATCCCTCTACTGTGGGAATATTGAGGTTTGGCATTAAGTTCGCATCTACTCGTTGGAAGCTTGATACTGAAAAGCACACACAAAGTGTCTGTTTGTGTGAAGCACTTTGCTTTACGGTCCAGGTTAGTAAAGTGTATAATTCGGAAGCCTCTACGAATTACAATAGTCTAAAGGCTGTAAGCATCTGGCACGTCACTATATACATTCAATTTGTAAGTCATGGATCACAACTACTCTCAGATCTTTCAGTTTTCGGAAGTGCTTTTTAATTGAAGATAAACTGGTGACTATTATCATAACTGATAAAAATTAGAACTATTTCTGAAACTAACCTACAAAGCCAAGCACTAGTAATTCATGTAAACCAGCTAAGAACCCAGATTCATCTGTACTACTGCCTTGTAACAGGAAACAAATCCCCAGAGTAAGTTGTTCTGTAATTCTTCGACATTTGATGCTGACCACATCAGTTTTACTGGACTCACCTATATGAAGACACTCGGGCACGTATCCACACCAGATCACGAGTGGGTACTCTGTGCTACGCATCCATCTTAGAATAGACGCTTCTAAAAATGTCGATGGCCTTCTAAATAAATCTCTGTACCACATTATTTTGACTCCTGATTTGATTGGCGTACTTCGATTATAAATGTGTTGCGCGCAAAGGCGTTGTCAAACCCTAACTACATGTGGCATCTTTGGCCCATTATTCTGCAAAGGTTTGCATATTCCGAGAGTAAGTTCAAACGACTCAAAGATTTCTCAAATAGACCGGTAAGGCTTCTACACCTATGAAACCCAAATATACTTAGAGGAGCTAAGTGGTTGGTATGGAAGATGCCAAATGTATTTAGAGTTTGACAACGCTTTAACCAGTAACACCTGATACGAATCGTACCCACCAAGTGAAATCAAAAGACAGAAGCGAGGAGGTTCGAAGACATATTTGATAGGCTATGAATATATCAGGGATCGTCTGATCTAATCTGTCTAGAGATTGCAGAGGATGTTCAGCACGGCGTTCCCACTTGTGATCTGGTGCGGATGCATGACCGAGTGCCTTCAGCTAGATGAGCCCACTAAAACTAATGTGGTCAGCATCCAATATAGAAGACTTACGGAGCTATTGATTTTTGGAATTTATTTACCGCTTTATTGTCAAAAGCGAACGTTCAGCAACTTTAGCTTGCAGTGCATTTGTTAGTCTGTGATATGTACAAGATACGAATCCTTTGCCTAACGACTAAATAAATCGCATTTGAACATGTAGCGTCTCGTTCCCGTGGAATGAATCATTCACATTCCCATCTACATACGTTCTTGAATCTTACTGATTGCTACTCTTTGCTTCGGCTTGATTAGATTTAAATGTGAACTCAACATTGTATTTGCTTGCTTGCTTGCCCTTTTGCTTACATTTGTTCGGTGTTCTTGTAACTTTGTAATCTGCGCTATCCAACAATAATAATTCGTGTTTCCTTCTGAATCCACATACTGTTGGGATTTGTTTAATAACGGTTATCAGAGTGATTGACAAACTGAGCCTTGGGAATCAGCTAAAGGCCAAGCCACTAAATCATTAGCCAGCTGTATACATGTGACTAGATATCTTTATCAGCCTATTTTACTATACTTTTTTCTTGAAATACTCCCTTCATTCCCTCATTAACTAGCACACCACTGCTATTCTAATTAACTTATTTCTCTAACAATTGACTTAGTATATCTCAAACTTACGTACTAAAAAACTAAAAGAAATTGCTCAATGGCACATTTCAAAAAGTTGGTATACTTGTAAGTCTAACTGATGGGTGAGGGTGAAATAATTCCAGTGATGGTTAAAACTTCCATGAACAAGCTTTTGAGCCGTATGCAGTGTATTTTTCCGTTAACACATTATTTGGAGGTGCTAGAACATTTGTGATCTATGACTATCGTAGACAATCGTACGTGTTTTTATGATGAACATCTTAACACACAAAAATCTAAACTGGCACTGTGTAGCTATGCCTCTACACCGGTTCCTATCTAAGACTCGGAATCCAATGACTTCTTAGCATGGATCACCAACTTAGTTCAGATTTACCTGGAGAACAAGTAATGTAAAGGCAGGCGGGATTATATTTGACGATCTGAAGAAAAGATGGTTAAAGAAAGCGGAACACGGGCAGAGTGCCCCAAACACTAATATCACTTGATTAAGTATTCTGCTGGTGCCGACATTGTTAGCTTCAATGCTTCTTGACAGAATTTTTAGTGTCTGATGGCTGGACTACAGAGATATGGACGTGTTGAATTATAGTCTACTTCGTTATTAGTACTATTATAATAATAGGCCTAATCCTAAAATCGTAGATGTGTCGTGATGTGGCTGCCTAATCTATATGATCTTATGTGGACGTCACATCATTTAGTACACTGACTAGTCGTATAGTGACAAGTAACAACATGTCTGAAGTTTCTAAATAACACATTCAGGCTGAAGATAGAGCGATAAATTTAATGTGAGCAAAAACAAGTTATACATAATAAACACGCTGGGAAGGCTGAGCCATGCCGACTGAATCCCACTAATTCTTCTCGCCTTCCCTAATGCTGATTTTCTCTCTACGTTAAACGTTGAATATCTGTTTTCCCATTTATCTCATGTTCAGCTTTCGGGATTGTATAGTTAAGGCCCAACGCAACTACAGGTGAACTCGACCATGAAGAACCACTTGAAAACAGCTCATTTTTCTTTCACGGGCCTTACTCATTATTAAAATTTAACCAGTCGAAGATTAGTGAAATAGTGCACACCGCCGCTTCAGTGGATATGTGTAATAATGACCTAGTTCGTTATTAGTACACCTAACTGTGCCACTATAACGATGGGCTCAATCATAAAATTGTAAAGTTGTCATGATGTGATTGCCCAATCTTTAAGATCTTACGTGGACGTCACATCAGTGTATACACTGACTAATCGTATCGTAACAATTAATAATATGACACTCAGTACTTTTGAGCATATTAAGGCTGAAGATAGGATAACGTGTTCATTTTGAATAAAGACAAGTTATACAGGATGACCACGTTTTCAAGGCTGAGCCATGTCAGCCGATTGATTGAATATTCCCACGTTCACCATTGTTGGCCTTCTCTTTGTGTTAAGTGTTGAATATTTATTTTCCCGTTTGTGTGGTTATGACCAATACCGCCACACAGACACAGTTTTGCAAACAGACATTAGTGAGTCACATCAAATGAGGAAGTGTAATATGTCAACGAAATTGCCCATTTACCCAAGACGATTTGTTGGTCAACACGTTTAGGAACGAGTAATTCCTCAGTGAAACTAAACACGCTAGTAAAATCATTAGCAATGAGATATATACATTGTCTCCTCACGTACAACTTCATAATCGGCGTTTCTTATAAAACAATAAATGCCAGTGATTCAGTGGTTAATGTAACTAAGCTGAAACCAAAGAGGCCATTTACGTCAGTAAGCCTTTTTATGGCCAGATAAACCTTCAACAACATGTTTCGGGAACATCAAATCTTATAAGCACTATCCCTGCATTTTTGCATAAGTAATAATAAATGGCTAATCGTAGAATATCTCCACACTATAAACTCCGTCAGAGGAGATGCCTGAAAAATCTTCACCGAAATCATTCTGTCGTCCCGAATGAGAACTCAGTTAGTTAGCTTGATAGCACGTATAGTTTGAGGCATTACCAAGCAAATATTCACACTAACTACAAGAAATGAGGAAGAGAAAATGTCAAAATTTGTAACAGATTTTTGGCTGAAGGGCAGTAAAATCAGTCTTAGACTGACATTTCATGTCTATAATTCTCATTCGCTCTTTGTCTAGTAGGTTGAAGTCACTTAATACAGTGTGATGTTTTGATGAAGATAAATGGATTTCAGGTAAAATATCGCTATTGTACGCTACATGCAAGATGTCATCTATGTTTTGTAGTAACAGTAAACTTACCTTTAAGCCTCCACAAGGTACACATACATTTACACTAACTTTGCATATATCTTATTTTGTTAACTGTTTGTGCATATTTGTTGACTATCATCCGCGCAATATTTGTTGGTTGGTACTGCAATCGCCGCGCAGATTGAGTGCGTGGGGATGAATGCTGAGATAGAACCTCATATATTAAAAATGTTCGAGATTAAGAAGAGGATAGGGAAAGGAGTGAGTAAAAATACTTATTTCTTATTGTTGACGACGAGATTATTTTTCGGAAGTTAGTGAAAGTAAAGTGTTTTTGCTTTATAAAACTGGATCAAATATATATGTAAAATTACTCATAATAAATACTTCAAGAGCCCTTTTAAGAACATTTTAAAATTTCTGAATAGACTATAAAAACCGAGTTGAATATGTTCATGATAACAATAAATCTAAAACTTGTTCGACTAAATTTTAGTTTATTTTTCTTTAAACATCTTTTATCAAGTTATATATCCGTACATAAGTTGGACAAAGAGGTCTCAAAATATTTACGTGATTAGAGTTAAGTGTTGTCGATATGACAGTAAACCACAACTGTCTAGGTCGAAATATGATTTCACCAGTATATACTTTTAAAATTTAGTTGTATATATCGTCATGTATTAGTTTTGTTTACGTAATGCCAATCGTAAATCAGAGTCTCAAAAGTTTTTTGGCCTTTCAAGTCTAAGATTCATGAAATCACAACGAACTTCTCAACCCATAGAGTTGTACACTACAGTTTTGCTTCCGGCTGTTTTTACTTACTGTAGCTCTGGCACATCTATATGTATATTTACAACAGTAAGTTAATGAACAATATTATTAGTTTTACACCCATCGAAAAAGTAGGCAGATATCTGAGGATAATAGCTTGTAGCATAAGGCTCTTAGTTTTAAAGAGACAGGTAATGAATTCCTACCTTAGAGCGAACGTTAGCACTCGACCTCCAAATTCTAGATATAAATCCTGGATTTTACTGTAAGATACATTCCACATACATTAAAAGTTGTGCCACTTCGAACACACACGTTATAGTATACATAGACGTGGATAAAGGATTTTTTAATATGACAGACACTAATGAGAAATCGCTACGCTAATTCGTTTTAAGGCGAAGCATAGAAAAAACTTAAAGTAATGTGCAAGTTTTATAATTACGTATAAAGTTTTCATGCACACCAGTGGACAACAATTATACAACTGAAATAGAATGATTTATGTGCTTAGTTCGTGCAAACAAAACTACACGGAATTGGTATTAGTTGCGGTGGACAAATGTTTCAAATTACGAAACAAAACAATGTGGAAAAACATAGGAGATATTTAAAATGACAGGTGAGGCATTCATTGACAAAACGACCAATGGAGAGTGGAAAGGTTTTCTTCCTCGTTTTCATTGCTCCCAAGTTACATGGTCAAACACCATCTGCTTATTACCATTATGAACATCCCAATCAGTAGATAGTTATTTCACTCCAGGTTCGACTGGTAATCCACTTTCTTTAAGTTAGGGATCTGGGTCATATCATTAGCCTTTAAATAAATAGAGGTGATATTCTGAATCCAGCGCTTGCCTAACGAGTGAAGCTAGAATAAAAATGATCTAATTATGTATACAATAAATACTAGTTGTTGGTAACTTCATGAATCAACTATGCATTACAGTCTTTTGAACACATATATGCACATAGTCTATATGATCGTATCAAACAGCAAGGCAAATACCAGTGACATGTATTTTACAGAAAGCGTGATTCACAAAATTGACTAAAACAATGATCAGTAAATAATATAAGTGGTAGGTAATAATAAAAAGGAAAACTCAGAGAATTTCTAGTAAATCAGAGAATATTTTACAAAATGTATTGATAACTTTTGAATCATTACTTATTTGAATGATGTACGGTTGATCTAATTTCTAAAAAACATAATCTTACCATAAATAGAAAGATTTATTTAGTGGGTCGAACTTGTGTTTATACCCGAGATTTTTATTCGAACACAATAATAATTCATATTCCGTTATTTCTGAACGATCGTTTAGTAAAATAAACCAATGTTTGTTATCCTGGTTAAATACAGAGAAATTAATACTTTTCTTCAGTGTAAACATTATATAAAATATTTACAGTCATTAGGAAGAAAACCTTATGTTTAGATTTACTATTTCAGAATGCTAAGCACCATGGCAATTATACAATCTCGTGAATGCTCATACCTTTGTCCATACACTATCACTAACCCGTTCAAGATATGATATTCATCATGTAGAACTAAGCTGAATACCGTGATTAGTTAGTTGACTTTTGCCGGCTTTATCTTATGTAGTTCACTGGTACATTGATTGAGCAGTAACTGTATATGCAAATGTTCTGGTTTACATACACGAGATAACTATAACCATTTGATTACGAACACCAAATCAAACTCATTCTATATTCTCCTTCAAATCTATCTAGTTGCTTTTACACTATAAATTAATATTGTACAATCAGAAATTCATTTATTTATCTGTTAGTACTATGCCAAATGATTTAATTCCTATTAGTTTAGTTAGGATTCTGTTTCTTCTCTAGAAACAATTCTAGTTGGTTGATTACAATACCATTGTGTCAGCAGTTTACTAATTTTTTTCTACAGTTCATTATATGCTCAACTTAAGTTAATACAAAAACGATTTTAAATAATTAATTTGTTAATGTGTTTAAATTAAATATAGCTGTTTAGACGGTAATTTTCATTGCAAAAGGGGAAAAATATTGAAGATGAGAGAGTAGTGTATAGTAATTTCGATTTAATTCAGATTTTTTCACTATCAATGACGATCACCGTAAAATATAAAACTTCCACACAGTCGTAAAACTGAGTTAGTTTTTCTTTCCATCGGATAACTCAAAAATACGTTGTATAAATTCACCTGATATTGTTTACTTGAATCAACCCATCGATGTTTTGAACTGCAATTGATCAGTCTCATATTGGCATATGTGCATCCTGTGTGTATTGCCTCGATATTGCCTTAAGTCGCAAGCACTGTAAGCCAAGATGGATATTGGCTAGCAGTAGAATTGAGGAAACTCATCTCGTCCTATTTGGGACTCGTCATCTGGATATACTTGTATCCCAAATTTGATGTTCACTTGGGGAGTCGAACCCAGTACCATTTGCTGCAAACACCATGACGTTATCCACTTAGCAACTATATTTCATCTTGATTGACAGAATCTGATCAACACTAACATTGATCACTTGTTATTCAATGATTGACCATTGAAAATTCTTGTACAACTTAGCAAAATTAAACCACTGATCTTTTCTAATCAATAAATCAAGGTAATACTATTTCAGAGTAAAAACACCCTGACTAGATATTTATCAATATTTCACCCTGACATGTTGCTAAATGTTTTTGTTTTCCACAAATTATAATGTTGTATGAGGTAAAATCTATAAAACTTTACCATACATGGTATGACTTATTTTGAGTTGTAACTTTGGTTTAGAACAAGTTTGTAGTGAATTTTTATCAACGCTTATCTAACTCGAGGAGTTTAGCTTTGTCAAGAGTGTGATATCTATCAGAAAGGACATGAGTAATCAATGAATTATATGATCGTGAATTAACTGAAGTTGAAAATGCAAGCTGTTTGTCACTAATTTAACAGACTAACGGTGAAGGAATCAGTAAGCAGCCTATAAGTTTCAGGTTCTATTCTTGGTTGAGGTGTATGTGTATGTCGCTGAACAGCTTCAGAACTAGGAAGCAATATTTTATCATCAGTAAGGGTTTGAGTTATCCCATTCTTGATATTCTGGGTTGAATCTCGATCTTTTTTGGTGTATATGCAGTTTGTTTGGATTACCTCAGTACAGAGATTATGTCAAAAAGTATTATATGATAGATAGAATTAGATTAGTAGTGGAATACAGGACGCGTATCTCTCTATATTTGTGACCCATCATGCATATACATGTATTCTAGTGTTCTTTTCTACTTTGAAACATAAACCCAATATCTTTTCCTTCAATTTCTCTATAAGCTATTCAGATAGCCACTAAATTGTTTAATATAAAAATCAACACTGTAATGGAGATAAATTCAACCAATGAGTTCTAAATAGAACAAAGCGTACTCCTTGAACTACACTGCTAACTTTAGTCTGCCTATTCTATTGAACTATGGAGCCACCATTCTGTAATACTTTATAGTTCTTATTGCTTCAGAATGATGAAATTAGTCTCTGATGCTAAACTGTCTCATTGTGATCAGATTAAGATTGGAAATTTAAAGTGATCTCTCCAGTATCTAGTTTTTTTCACGTTGTAATTTCGGTCTTCCAAATAGTTCACCCTTTCCCTCTCTTTCCTTTTTATTTATTTATTTATTTGAACGCATAAATATTGGTACAATGGGGCACCGAATACATATGCGCCACACAAATCACTTGATCTCTGTGTGAGCTGTGATACTGCCTGGGTACTCAGATAGAAGTAGCTGGCTTTCTTAGGGGGTCACACTCAGAGCCTTCGACCTAAAGGTCTGATCCAAAAGGCAGTGGAGCAACGTCAGGAGATCCAGACACATGGTAGTCGGTGACCAATAATTGGTTCACACGCTGTTCGTCCCTTCAGGATACTGGAGCCTATGCGCACTATTGGTTTGGAATTGTGGTTTTCCAACTCCCATAGGTGAACCCTTTGTGTCGACCAACCCGGTTAAAACGATGGACATTTGTTTTTCGTCCTCTTGATTTCGTAAACAACGGTAATGCCACGAGAAAGCAGTGAGTAGGACTTCCCTGACAGTGGATGTTTACGTGTGGCCATGTGAGAGCATTTTGAGAGAGAGAGCGGACTCTTCTCGCCCTCAGCCTAATTTGAGTCGCTATGTTTACTGTTGTAAAGAAAGCTAGAAGAGGACAAACAAGCATGTTCTGTCAGTCAATAAAGTCACTGTCTATTGGACTGAGACGTATAGATAGATGCCGACTACATAGTTAAGGTCACTGTGAATATCAATGCTAGTGATCAGAATCATTAAGTGAAGTGCATTAGAAGCAGTTGATGTTCACTTCGGGACTCGGGCCCAGTACTGTTCGCTTCAAACGCCATCATATTATACACTTAGTTACTGAGTCTTGATAGCTACTTGCTTATGCAATGGGATAACTAATCAATTGATCAGTCCTAAACATTA